TAGTGGCCAAATGCTTAACCATCATGCCATAGTTGATCCAAAATCAGAAAGAAGTCATGGAGAATAAGACAGGATCTATTCATGGATGTACCTCCTGAAACCAGAATTCAAACTTAACATTTCATGAGACACCTCAGATGCAACTGTAAGGGCTCCAACGCCTTGTCTCTGAGGTAGACTGCCCCATGCATGACCACTAATTGTCCTGGAGAGACCAGGGCCCTTGGATCTTCAAAATAATTATCTGGTTTTCACTCTAAATGAATGAATATGTAAATATGCAATCCTCTATGCACCTCCCTGTCTGCTAGGGTAGTTTGACAGGATATAAGCTCATGACTAAGAAAAATGAGATTTCCTCTGACTGTGTGAATGACAGAAGAAATTCATCTCATCACCCACATTAATGACCTGGGGGCCCCAAACTTGGTCTGTGTTTAAGAAGCTAGAGTAAGTATCCAAGGGAGATAATTGACATACTGAGGCTGGAAGACAGCGGTGATTATTTTTTTGATGACCGAGGAACAAAAGCATGTGGATTTTAGATAAACAGATGACAAAAAGAGCCCATTTGAGATTCCAGACTTGTCAAGTAGAGCTCTAAGGGCTTAGAGTTCTCTGAATGGACAAACATCTTAGAGTGTTTATGTCTCAGACTTCTGAGTGTGATTCTTAGATTTGCCTTGGAGACAGATATCCTCATTCTTTATACATACTGCCCAACCCTACACCAATGGGATGGGCAGAACCGCTAGGGGGTTTCAAATTGCTCTTAGTAAAAAAAAAATTCTAGATTCAAGAGAAAGATATTGGACTCCTGACAATAATAATGGCAGCTGAAACTCATTGAGAGTTTACTCACTACCAGGCACTGTTTTTAAACTACTCGTTAGTCATTGCCTCATTCTCAGAACAATGCTATGACGTAGGTGCTATTACCATCAAACCCATTTTATAGATGAGGAAACTGGGCTTGGCTGACTTTAAACATCAAGCCCAGAGTAACACAGCTAGCTCGCAGCAAGGTTAGGATTGGAAGCCTAGAGTGGAATTCTAGGGCCCACACCTAACACACTTAGCCTGTACTGCTTGATGAAGTTGTCCTTTGCAAAATTTACTCTGCAGCTCAGTCCTCAACAGGGGGACAAATACTCCCTTAAAGGGTAAAGAGTATAATCCAGAGATAAAAGGAATGACAGGAACCTAACTCAGAATGTTGTCCTCATATTTATATAAGATACGATATAATAGTTTCTCTCAAACTACTGAACATCTTAGCAAAAATGGCCTAAAGAATTCTGTTAGTGAGATTCTGTGGAAGTCAGCTGGGAAAGCAGGTGTGTGATCCAGGCTTCCTTATCCTGACAAGATTGCATCGATGTCAACCTGAATTTTTGAGATGTCCTGGTCTTTGAACTTCTCCCTCCCTCTAGGTGCTTAATAAATATTTGATAAAAGAAAAAAAAGAAGAAAGGAAGTCCACCTGTCTTTGCTCACTCCTTGTTTAGTTCACATGTACTGAGTACCTCTTATATGCCAAGAAATGTACTAGGCCTTGGAGGATATGAAGATAAATTAGCCATTGTCCCTACTCACTGCTCTTTAGGAGCTAATAGACTGAATCTGATGAAGAAAAGATATGTGAGCAATATTACCATATTCAGTAAGACACATCATAACATCAATGTATGTGCCAAATGCAATGCTGGGACAGAAAAGCAAATGGTTAATTATTCCTCTCAGGAGGAACAGGGGCACAAAGGCTTCTCAGAGGAGTAACTGTGAAAAGTTAAGTCTTAAAGGATGACTCAGAAATATTCAGGTCAAGAAAGTGGAATGGGGTAGGCATACAGGACTGAGACTCTTAAGCTCACCGTACACCGATAATTCTTTCACATTACATGACTTCAGGATACTGAATAATTTGTACTCACTGAAAGGTCTTTTCATACATTGACTGTGGCTAGGTAAATTGGTCCAATGCTGTCGGAAAACAATTTTGCAAAATGAATCAAGACTATACAATGGCTATACCTTAGAACTAGTGATCACACCTGTGGGAATCTTAAGGAAATAATTCTGGATGTAGAAAAGATCGTATGCACAAAGATAGTGTATATTAGAGCATTAAAAAAGAGGGAGAATTGGAAAACAAACCTCCATGCCCTTTACTGGAAGATAGGTAAATAAACTATGGTATGTTTATTAGAGAGACTATTATGCAGCTATTCATTTCCAATATCACTTAATAACTTAGAAATATTTATGGATATAGTGATAAATAAAAAAGGAGCAACAAATGGGTAAGTATGGTCACAACTTTATTCTTAAAATCATATGCATAACAACAAAAGGCTCTAAGAAATGATACCAAAAAATGTTAACAGAAGTTGACCTAGAAAAAGGGAAGTTTTGGGAGACTTTTTCCTTATTTTCAAATTTCCTGTTATATAGTTGTTTTATTCCCTTACAACCTACACATAGTTTTAATCTATGGATTTCACAGTCTACAAACTTAGTGTGAATTTCTTCCAGAAGTCACCAAGTCTTCTAGTTCTTTTTTCTTTCTTTCTTTCTTTCTCTTTCTTCCTTCCTTCTTTCTTTCTTTCCTCTCATTACTTAATAAGTGCCCAAGTGTGGCTTATAGTGGGTGTCTATTGAACACACAGGACAGCTGACACGGTGGAGCAGATTTCTCTATACTCTGCTTTCCTATGGCCTCCAGACCATTAAGAGAAGTAACAACACTTGACACTTAACATAGCTTTTATGTGTGCTAGACACTGTAGTAAGCACCTCACAGATATTAATTCATTAAATACAACAGTCCTGTGTGATAGATATAAGAATTAACTTTTTTTTTTTTTTTTTTTACATCTAATCAATTTAAGAAACTCAAAGGCTAGCCACTTACCCAATGTTATCTAGTTAGTTGGTAAAAAGCCAGGGTTTGGAACCCAGGAGTATGGCTCAAAGGTCTCAGCTCTTAATCACTCCAAAGAGGAAGCTTTGAAATAGTCAGCTAGCCAGCCAGCGAGGCAAGCAGGCATGTAAAACCTACAGGTAACTAGGCAGAAGAGATGGGGGACTGGGGCTGGAGGCGAATGGAGAAAGACAGAGCTCAAGGAAAATAAGAAAATGTAAACCCCTTCCCAAATAAAAGCCTCAATCTCTGGCAGCAATTTCTTTCTTTCTGAGTGGAGAGGATGGCAGATGTAGAAAGGCATTTGAAATATGAGAAATCGCCTCTGAAGTAAATATCTGGCTCAGCATTGAAGACGGATTAGAGGTAGCACTTAGCTGAAGGTGAAAGATTTAAGAGAGCTATGTATTTCCATAAACAGGGTCTTGATATTTTCTGTGCCTATTAGTCCTGCAACAGACATAATGATTGTTTCTTCTCTGGTGAGTTTATTTAGATTACGAAGCTCAGGCTTTTTCTAGAATTTTAGATACATCAGGACTATATCAGACCTTCTGTGGCCATCTAATCTAGACCCTGCCCATCTTTTCATCCCTAGCATACATACACACCTTCTATAAATAGAATAGGATAAATAAACATCTATCAGAAAGAACAAGTGATGAACCTGGTGCATAAAGAGGCAAGGGTGACCCCCTATTAAAAGTGATTAATCAAAGTGGGTAGAGGCCATTATGCAAATGCAATCATAGGTTCAAAGACATTAAGTATTGAAATAAGTATTCAGTGATTCTTTTACTGGATCTGCTGGATGTTTCTCCATGATCTCTGGATTGAGTAAAGGTTTAGATGATATATATCTGGCTGTTTGGTGAGGAGCCCTGGTGGCACAGTGGTTAAGCACTCAGCTGCTAACTGAAAGATCGGTGGTTTGAACCCACCAACTGCTCTGAAGGAGAAAAATGTGGCAATCTGCTTCCATAGAGATGTACAGCCTTGGAAACTCTATGGGGGCAGTTCTACTCTGTCCTATATGGTAGCTATGAGTTGAAATTGACTCAACAGCAATGGATTGTCTTGGTCTATGTTACCCTATGCTTTTAATTCATTAGTCCCAAATCTTGAAAATATGCTTCTAAAACATCCATCGAAAAATAAGATCAAGGTTGTTCACAAGTAGCCAAGAGCTCAAAGACAGCTGGTGTAAGCTGGGACACTTCCCATAATGGAGGGTCCAAGATGTGGATTCCAAGCTACATCTAAAGTGATTATGTTCTAGCAGCCTGTACTGACATGCACTCCTGCCTTCAGTCTTATCCAAGAACAACTGGAAGCTCTTTAACTAAAGCCTTTCCTCTCACCCCCTACATAAAAAAACCAAACCAAACCCATTGCCATCAAGTTGATTCCGATTCACAGCGACACTACAGAACAGAGTAGAACTGCCCCGCAGGGTTTTCAAGGAGCGGCTGGTGATTCAAACTGCTGACCTTTCGATTAGCAGACGAACGCTTAACCATTGCACCACCAGGGCTCCCCTTACATAGAGCATCCCAATTTTTTTTGGAGAAGAGCTGACATCTTACCCAGCCCTACCTGATCAGAGTGAGGAATCTCCTCCATTCCCCATGTCAAAGACGTATATATCCTTGACCCAAGTGTCATAGTACTACTTTACTCTTCATCCATGGAAACTGTATTCTTAAATTTTAGATTTTGCTATTTGCCATTCAGCTTTATTAATGATGAAAACCATGGGAAGTGACGAGAGAGACCAAACTTCTGATTTCACAGATGAGGAGAGGAGGTCCAGGGATTAGAGAGCATAATCCTAGTATCATGCATCAAGTTGGTGGTTAAGATGCTTCTGGCTCTCATTCCAGGGTTCTTTCTGCCCCTCCCCGTTCAGTAGGTCATGTGGCATTGAAGGGAACTATGTGAAGCCTTGAAACTTAAGAAGAAGCAAAGGCTGCCCCAGTAATTTGTCCCAGCTGCTGCTCCACACACATATGTGTACACACACACAGACCCCTTGTCTGAACTTGCCCCCAGTGGAAGAAAAGATCATGGCTCTTACTCATTTCCATGTACTCTGGAGTGAGTCCAGTGTAAGGTTCCAAGCTGTAGTCTAGGTCCCACTGCTCTGGATGTTTTGAGTGGGCAGAGTCAGTTTCTTCAGGTTCTGTCTCATCTTTCAGCTTCCGAAAGAGTTTCTTTAACTTCCTGGAAGAGAAATGAACCAGTCACCAAAAGATTCTGGAGGACAGGGTTAGTTCTGCAGACAGAAATGAGGAAAACGAAGTTTTTAACCCTAAAGCCATCTCTGATCCAAGGATAGATAGAGAAACCACTAAAAGATTACTTTTCTCCTAGAGACAACCCAAGAGTTCCTTCATCAGGATAACGAAAGGCCCCACCCAACAAAGGAGCAGCTTTCTTCAAACCCAAAGAAACTTAGAATTCTTCCCAGTGTTTGATAAGCAACAACAGAGTTGGCCTTTCCCATCAAATGCTGAGATGGAGCTAGTCCTATAGTCTAACAGATGATCCAGCCATCCCCTTCATGGGGAGGGGAGAGAGTGTCAGAAAGCAGTGGAGAGATGCTCTCTTTCCAGTTCTCTCAGGTCAAACATTCTCAGGTCTTAATAACATAAATAACATCATCTTTCTAGTTAAAGCCAATGTAAATCTTGTCCACCACATTCAGGAATTTCTTGGTTCAGAATAAGATAATAATGGCCCAGTTTCTTGGGTTTTGCATGAGGATTAAGTGAAATAATGTTTATACAGTCTTTAGCACAGTACCTGAACACAATAATTATTCAAATACTTATTATTTTTAATATTAAATGCTAAAATATATGCACAATGAAAACAGGTGAAGAAGCAAGGTGTCAACTCTGCTCATTGAAGAGATGGTTTCTAGGAAACAGCTGGGAAGAGAATGAACTGCAGAGCAGTCAGAATCATAGGCTCAAAGAACTCAAAGGGATTTTGAAGACCACGCTCCACCACATTCCTGACACAAGATCATCCAACCCCTACATAGATATTTCCAGTGAAGCACTACCAATATCATCAGGCACCTCAGTCTATTGTTAGAAAGTACTTCCTGGCAGTGGAAATATACTGATTCAAAATAATGTTCTGATCAGCGTTCTGTCTAGTAGCATTTGCCATCAGGAGAATGTAGTACAGTGTAGTGGATGAAAGTCTAATCTTTAGTGTCAGAAGATAGTTGTTTAAAACACAGTTCCATAATTCTCCAGCTGTGTTTTCTTGGGCAAGTTTTAAAACTCTGTTAGCTTAAGTTTTCTTATTTATAAAATGAGAAAATAAATATTAACTAGCCTGTATAAAACTACTCATCATCGAGTTGATTCCAACTCATGGCAACCCCATGTGTGTCAGAGTAAACTGTGCTCTGTGGAGCACAGTGGCTTTTCAGTGGCTGATTTTTCAGAAGCATATGGTCACACCTTTGTTCTCAGGCACCACTGGGTAGACTCTAACCTCCAACATCTGTTAGTAGCCAAGTGTGTTTACACCACTCAGTGACTCAAATTAGCCCATCAAACCAAAAAAACCAGTTGCCATTGAGTCAATTCCAGCTCATGGAGACCCCATGTATTTCACAGTAGAACTGCATTCCACAGGGTTTTCAAGGTTGTGACCTTTTGGAAGCAGATCACCAGGCTTTTCTTCTGAGGTACCTCTGGGTGAGTTTGAACCACCAACCTTTTGGTCAGTAGTCAAGTGCTTCAACTAGCTAAAAGGAGATGATCTATATAACATGTTAAATTTAGGGCATGGTATATGGTAAGAACTCAATAAATACATCTATCACTGTCTCTATCATCATCAGCATCAAAGGAGGATTTAACAAAATGAGTTAAGAGATCCATAGACGCAGCAGTAACAAAATTTTCATAATAAAATTTCAAGCAATGATTACGTGATAATCAGAAACTGAGAAAAACTAGACAATGCCTAAAAATTCTCAAGTAAGGTAGTATGGGCCGACTGAAACCCAACAAGTATACAGTGGGTCAGGACAGAAGGAGACAGAAGACAAAAATAAAAGAGAGAAAAGGAAGGGAAAGAGGGAAGGAGAGTGAGAAGAAAGGAGGGAAAGTCTAGAACCAGAACTCAGACTGAAACTTTACCTCCAGGTACTAGTAATCAGACTACTTGGTCGAATCCTCAGTAAAGATTAGCAGTTTGAATTAAACATGGATAGTTGAACACATTCATATATACCTTTCATATATATGTCATTAAAATGACAGTGAAGGGATAAAAAATAGATGAAACCACAGGTTAAAAAAATAGTTATGAAGACAGTAGTGAATGAGAGATGTTAATGAATAACTTGGAAGACGGACAGTGGATGAAGGAGTTAGCAAAGCTGTGTTGGCTGAATGCCAAGTGTCTACAGTGGAAGATGGTGGTGAGAAGCCAGCTAAATTATGGGGCAAAACCTCAGAAAGGGTCAGGAATTAGAAACACACCAAACCAGAAACAAACCAAACCCAATGCCATCGAGTTGATTCTGACTCATAGTGACCCTATAGGACAGAGTAGAACTGCCCCATAGCATTTCCAAGAAGCACTGGCTGGATTCGAACTGCTGACCTTTTGGTTAGCAGCCATAGCACTTAAACACTATGCCACCAGGGTTTCCAGAAACACACCAGGTATCCCCAAATGTAGAGGAGTAGTGATTGGTCAAAGCTGTCTTTAGGAACAGCAGACCCTAATGTCTCTGTCGATCCATGCTGCACAGGTGGGTACACTTCCCAACTCTGGTAGGATCAAAAAGCTTATTCTGAGGATCAAATGAACTAAGGAAACTAAAGATCTGAGATAAATTCAGTAAACTGACAGGAAGATAAAGTCAATAACTTTCTCCCCTCCACACACACACCAAATAGAACAAAAGACAAAGAAATGGACAATAGAAAAGCAAAGATAAGAACATTAGGAGAGCAATCCAGGAACTCCAACACTTAATCAAAAAGAGAGGACAGGTAAATAGAGGGGAGGAAATTTTTTTTAAAAAAGAAGAAGAAGAAAAGAAAGAAAAAAAAATGTCCCAGAAGTGAAAGACATGCATTTTCTGATTGGAAGGACCCATTCAACATAATGATGAGAAAAAGACCTCCACCAAAATACATCACCATGAAATTTCTGAACTCTTAGAATAATGAAAGGGTTCTAAAACCTTCCAGATTCAAAGGGGAAACCATAGATCCTCTACAAATTACCGGGAATCAAAAAGATACTGGAAGTCTCTATATCAGCCCTTAACAGTAGAGTACCCTGTAGCAATGTATTTAACACTCAGAGGACAAATAATTTCAGCACAGAATCCTATACCCAGTCAAAGTATACATCAAGTGTGAAGACAGAATAAAGACATTTTCAAATATGCAAGATTTCACAAAAGTTAGCCTTCTATGCATCCATTCTCAGGAAGTTCCTGGAGGATGAATATCACCAACCAAGGATATAAATCAAGAAAGAAATAATATGGAATCCAGCAAACAGGAAATCCAATCGAAACAGGAGATGTTGAATCTAACTCAGCTAGGTAGACGTATAGAAGGCTAGTGAACAAACAGTTCTTGTTGGAACAGGAGAATAAAGGGGTCCTAGGAGGCTGACTCCAGGAAAAAATAATTGTGACTGATATGTTTGATGATGTAGTCTAACTGGGAAAGTGGGCACTAAAACAAGTGTTATGAACAATGTGTAATGAATGTTATGATGGGAGAAGTTTCAGTAATTATGAGAACAGAAAACAGAAAAACCTAACCTGGCCTAAGGTAGAAGTTCTTTCTCAGGAAGACATGTGTAAGCCAAAATAAATGATCAGGAAAGATGAAGAGTGGAGTGAAAGGTGAAGGAGTGTTGTAGGCAAAGGGAACCATTTGTGCAACAGCCAAAGGCAAATGTGAGAATTGCTCATACAAAGGACCGAAGGAGTTCAAAATGCTTGGAGCATTATTTTATATATATATAATAACTGTGGCTAGGTACCAGAGAGAAAATGAAGAAAGACAAGACTTGAGAGGTCGAGTAAGCTCATGGCATCGGAGTCTTTGTAAGCCTTATTATTCAGTGGCTCAGAAGAAATGATGGTAGCAGAGTCTAAGGTCATAGTAGTGGACATTAAGAGATGTATTTGTGATATGCTCAGGAGGTAGAATTAAGAAGACAGAAGTGGACTGTAAATGGCAGGTGAAGGAGAATAAAGGATCAAGGATGCTTCCCAGAGTCTTTGGGCATGTGTATGGTTTTCTAAGATAGGAATCACTAGATAAGAAACAATTTTAGTGATGAGGAAGAGTAGGAGAAGTTTTGGACACGTTGAGGTGGAAGAGCCTATGAGACAATAAGTAGAGATGTGTAGTAGGCAGTTGTGTATATGTGTCTAGAGCGCTGAAAACAGGCCTGGGCTGGAGATAGAGATCTAAGAGTCATTATCATGACAGCAAATGAAGCCCTGGCAACCAACAACATCACCTAGGATACTGCATAGAACAGAGGATCAGGAAGGAGCTCTGATGAATATTGATAGTTAAGGGATAGGGTAGAGGGAAATGGTCTCTAGGTGATGCAAATGGTTAATGCGCTTGGCTACTAACCAAAAGATTGGAGGTTTGAGTCCACTCAGAGATACCTTGAGGCCTGGTGATGTACTTTTGAAAAATCAACCATTGAAAACCCTATGGAGCACAGTTCTACTCTGACACATATGGGGTCTCCATGAGTCAGAGTCGACTCAGTGACAAATAGAAGGAAAGGAGCCCTCAAAGGACAAGGAAGGAGCAGTCATAGGAACAGAAGGCCAACAGCGATACTGTGTGCCAAGAAAGCAAGGGAAGAAGGAGCTTCAGGTCCTTGTGGTCAACAGTGTGATATGCTGTGGCTGGGTAGAAAAAAGATGAGGGGAAAAAAAAATCCACAAATAATGCTTATGAACCCCTCATTCCCAGAAGTTTCCCTCGTGGAGATCTCAGTGACCATTAAAAAAATTAATAATAAAGAAAATTCTCCTAGACCAGGATTTAACAGGAATCCCGTGCATTGCATAACATACAGATGGGCCGTTTGGAAAACTTCAGATTATGATTCTGACCGTATGAGGCACTCACTTGTTAAAATAACTCCTTTGATGTTACCCCTTGTCCTTTTCATCTGCTATCTTTCCCTCCCTT